AAATCGTCAGGGCATATCGACAAGGCAGATAACATCTTCCTGTCTGACTCTCACGGCGAAACGGCTCAGGGCTGAGGGCATCATGATCGGATGAATCGTCGGGTGAGTCCGGTGAATCCTCCTCCATGAAGGAGATGCGGTAAAAGCTGGAAACTAATTTATGGGGAGGACGCTAAGCCCCGCGGGGATTTTTGATTCGTGTCGAATTATTATTTTTCAGAAGCATGGTTACAACCTGCACGAAAGCTTATACGACAAGAATTGGAGCTACTTACTATTAAACTGAACGGCTACAGGAGAAAATAGACAGCAAAAGAATGGCTCACGGGCTGTATGTATCCGAGTGTGAACACAAATGTCGTATGTCAGCGTCTTTGTTTTTGACTGCCCAATGTGTTGTTAGGGTATTATTACTTTCAGTTTGATATTGTCTGCGATGATTGGGTAAGCTGGTCATTAACAATGGTCACATGAAAAGCTTGTGACTCTTTGGCTGTTTTGTTTTATACCTTGTTCCGGACGGATCTTACGAAGCTAAGACGCCTGAAGTATGAGATTCAAAATTGTTCCTATGTTCCTGTCACTGTGCACATGTTTGTTGACATTTGTACTCCAGGTTGGCGGTCGTCCATTGCACATTCTGTTGGTAGTTGTGGATGATTTTGGATGGAGTGATGTGGGATTTCATGGCTCAAAAATCAACACCCCAAACATGGACAAGCTGGCGGCGGAAGGAGTCATTCTGGATAATTACTATGTACAACCGATTTGTTCTCCAACGAGAAGTGCCCTTCTCTCGGGCAGATATCCAATACACACAGGTGTGCTTTTAAGGCTTTGCTTAACACGCTTAATTTGCTGTTTTTGTGACTCAAAAAGTTTGCATGATTCTCTAGTGTTCCACCCACAAGGCAATATGCATAAGCTTATTTATTATATGGCTAGCTCCGTTGAGCGGGCCAGATGAATCAAATCCTGTACTGTGATTGGCTACCCGATCATATGCTATGCTAATTTGCATGAAAATCAGCAGTGCTCTTAAAAATACTACTGAATTAATTCTCACGTTTTTAGGTAATACATACTGCATAGTGTCTGAAATCGACTTCTTTTTAGCCCTTGAATTGGAGCATCTCGTAATGACATGTAAATAGGTTTAGTTCAATAAGCTTCAAATTAATAAGTTATTTCTTATAAATTGATTTTGTAATAAAAAAAAACTAACGATGAAAAGTCATGATGTTTTGATCCTGACCTTCCCGAGGCCAATTTTAAGTGCATGTAAAAAAGTAAAAAAAATTAACATAAATATGTTTCTAACAGTAAAAAATAGTTAAAAATGTCACGCACGGTAAAATGCAATAAAATACCGGTATGTTAATTGAAGTTAAAAAACAACCTGAAACAATGACATTCTGAACAGTGAATTCTGTATTATCCCCAGATGATCTTGGGAAGAGTCTTGGGGCATCATGGTGAATTACCATAGAGAATTTTTATCCACAGTTTTAAAACTGTCTTCTTTGTAATTATCAGGTTTACAACATGGAGTAATACGTCCTGATGAGCCCTATGGACTGCCACTTGACTTCACAACCTTACAACAGGCACTCAAGAAAGCAGGTAAAGAATCCCTATACTTATTATGTTACCTCCTGTAGGAGAGTACATGCGCACATAGGTATGGAGGTTTCCTTGGTGATTAGTGACCTGAGAGGATTAAGGTAATATTCCATCAAAATAGAAATCACAATAGATTTTCTTTCAAACTTTGCCTGTTGGCTGCTTATATCAATAGAACTTAAAATTTGAAATAAAAAAGGGGGTCCCCCCATATTCGTTTAGGAGCAGGAGGACCTACAATAAACCCNGGGGGGGGGGGGGGGGGGGGGGGGGGGGGGGTCCCAGTATTTATTTAGGGGCTGAAGGACCTTCAATAAACCCCATAATTCCTTGAATGATCTGCTTTCAGAAATGTTTATTTTTGTACCAATTATTTAATGCTTTGTGAGAGCAGAAAAATAGGGAGAAAGTTTAGCGAGTTACACAATAATGTTATTACAATAGATTTATTTCATCAATGTCAAGGAGCAATTTGATGTATGTTTCATGATAAAAAGGCACCCAGATTCAATTGACAGGGATTCAGTATAGAGCCTATTCATAAATGGCTGCTAATTTAAAATTCTTTTGTATGCATTTAAATTAGCCCAACTAATCTCATTTGAGAGTAAAAATTCTTTTGAATTGCTTACTCAAAAACAAGGTGAATTGCCCGGCTAATTTTAATACTTACAAAAAATAATTTAATTTCTTTGCAGGGTATGCAACACATATGGTTGGAAAGTGGCATCTTGGTTTTTATGAATGGCCTTACACCCCAACGTATCGTGGCTTTGATTCATTTTATGGCTTTTACACAGGAGCTGAAGATCACTTTAATCATGAAAGGAATGGTATTCTTGATCTGCATGAAAACAAAGAGCCAGTTCAAGATAAAGGAGGATTTTATTCAGCCAGGCTTTATGCTAAGGTTAGCCATTTTAAAATATTTAGCGCATGATAATCAAACTGTTTTTCTTACAAACTGGCTGAGCACTAATTTCAATTATTTGTTCTAAGTTCTAACTGGAATCATGGAACTGTACATGTGTATCTGGAATATCCTGGCTTAAAGCTTTCAGGGAGAAATGGAGATGTTGGCTTATGCTTTGCAAACTCGTGTTAAACAGATTTGTACAGGTTAGAGTCAGGGAACGGAGGGGTCGGGATTACAAAACTGGCAGTGGTATAGGTTGTGAATACACGCTTGCAAATTAATCACATTGGGGTTTTGCTTTCTCACTTCATCAGCAAGCACAGAGTGTCATCTTATCCCACAATGCCTCAACTTCTCCCCTGTTTCTGTATTTACCATTTCAAAATGTGCACGGACCAACACAAGCTCCTGAGGAATATGTTGACAAGTACCGATTCATTGAAGACAAAACACGACGGGATTATGCAGCAATGGTTGACATAGTAGATGAAGCGATAGGAAATGTAACTCAAGCTATGCAGCGAGCTGGGTGAGTGAGTTGACTACCTGGGGGTGGGTACCCCCTTATATGGGCTTTGTATATAGGTATATGCGGCCCCAAAGGATAGGGTTTTTCAGCCATTTTGGTCATAAATAGGGTATTGATTTTGGTCATTTTGGTCATAAATAGTCTTAAATTCAGTATGTTTTTCAGAGGAAGCCACTTTTTCATGATCGATAAGACCATCATGAATTAAGCCGTCATAAACTATGTTTAGGGCAACTGTGCC